CAATTTTAGACCAATCATATTTGAACAAATGTCAAATGAATCTCTTTAAAGTTGAAAACCGTTTCTTGTTTGAAATCCCCATTTCATTCTCTCTCATGCTTTTTTTTTTTTTATTCTTGTGAAACCCAATAAAAAATACCGATGACCTGGTCTAACATATCCCAATTTTGCACTCTTTTTCTTATACTTTTCGTTGGATACATTTAGTTAAATGTACTCTGGATATAATTTAGTATCAAAACAGAATTAAACTAATAATCCAACTTGTAATGGTCGATAATGGAAAAATTCCTGAAAAATATCCAAAATTAATTTAATTTGTTTGAAAAATATACGAACTATTTTGGCTATCCGAATAATACATGAAGTATTTACTATTGTCTTTTATATACTCAGACTTTCAAATTTTGTAGATTTTACATATTCGATTCTAACGGCGTTAACCCGTTAACAGAACATGATAAGCGGTGTTAATTTTTCGACGGAAAAATTCCTAAAAATTATCCTAACTTAGTTTAAGTTGCTTAAACAATCCACAAACTTTTTGGCTATCCAAATAATACATTAACTATTTAAATTTATCTTTTATATACACTAACTTTCTAAATTCAGGTGTAAAGTACTACAATAATAATTGGATAATATTGCATGGTTTGTGTATAAGCAAATAATATAATGAATTGGTTTTTTTTTATAGGATTTTTATAATTGGAGGTGCTTTGCAGTTTCTTCCAAAACTATTGCGACTAACCTTTGCCGAAAGAGTTCAAATGTAGTAGGTATGACTGGTATTTTTTTGCATTAGTCTTGATGACTTATTTGAAGGGGCTTATCAATAATAATTGTACATCTTGAAGTGTTGATTGGATGCCCGTGTGGAGGTTGATGCTCTCGGAGATATGAATACAGAATTTGAGTGAAAACTTGGCTAACTCGTACTGAAAAAATATTTTACCACTTTGACCTAGTCCCTTTTGATACTATATTCATTCTCTAAACATTTCAGTTATGTAAGTTAAATTAACATTATTGTATTCTCGATTTTGATGACAAAAAAGTTAGAGTATATAAAAGATAAACTTAAATAGTTGGTGTATTATTCGGGTAGCCAAAAATTTGTGTATTGTCTAAGCAAATTAAACTAAGTTCGAATATTTTTTTGTAATTTTTTTGTTACAAAATTGACACAGTTTACGCCATTATAATTGATGGTGTAAAACGTACAAATTTTGAAAGTATAAGTATGTAAAAGGCAACCGTAAATATTTTATATATTATTCATATAGACAAAATAGTTTGTGTATTTTTTAACCAAATTAAATTAAGTTTCTGTATTTTTTTTGAAATTTTCCCTATCGATAATTAATAAACAAGTTAACTATGATTTTTGTCTAAAATATAGTAATGTCATTTGGTCATATTCTGAATCAGGGGGCTATTTTGAAGTGGGGCACGTGCCCCCATGGTAATTGTTAATAGAGTCTATTTATTGATCATTGCTTATCTAGATCACTTGGCTCATTTAAAACTCATTGATTATTATAAAATGCTCTTTTGTCTCTTTTCATGGGATGTTCACACAGATATAGGTATACTTCTCATTGGATAGATTTCTAGGCCACCTAGCAATAACAATTCGCCACGTCAGTTAACGATTTGACACGTCAGTTTAGTCTCTCAACGATGTAATCAGCAAGAGACAACAAAGGAGCCACCTTGTCCGAGTCAAACATCTGAAGAGCAGCGAGTATCTCATTGCCTCGCGGATCTTGAGTACTAACGTGCTCATCGTCGAATCAACTCACGTTCTCTAAAATTTTAGGAAATTTTTTTTATGTAACACACCTGAGGATTAAGCTAATTAATTAATAGTCTACTACTCACATGTAATTTAGTTTTAGATTGCTTTTCATTTTATTTAAATTTTTACATGAGTTGTAATCCCCTATATATAACTCACAAAGTTAGTGGAAAATTTGTTTTGTTAACATCTTGACCCCATCACCTCTCGGAGGTCATTTTAAATACAAAATTTGTTTCGTATAATACTATAAACATATTTAACAAAGCTTAAATTCTGTAGAAACACCAAAGCTGAAGAGTTATTTGCAGGAAAAAATAGCAACAACTCAGTCAAGATTAATAAATAACTCCTTACAAATTTGTTACCTGATTCTTGAAAATTTTAAAGTTCTACCAAATAGGCAAAGATACACACACAAGATAATAAATGGGTTCTAGATCTTTTTAGTTCTTTCCATGTTCCTTTCTTTGGTCTCCAAAACAATGATATTGTGTTCTACTTGACAACACGCTTCATTAAAAACGAACATAACCTTCTAAAACCGCGAGGCTTCTTGTATACGGCTTGGTGTTTCGTTGATATACTAACAACCTCAGGGGGAGGAGGCACTGAGTCTTTCTTGGGCTGTGTCTCGGTTCCATTTGGAGGAGCCTCAAGTTTCTTTGGAGGTACTTCCGGTGGCTTCAAGTTTGCATCTTCACACTCTGCTCCATATTTCATTCCAAGCAAATCAATGCTTGTCTTCTCGAGCATCTTCATAAGCACTCCAATTTCTATGTTCCCACGAAAATATCCCATCGTATATCCCACCGGATATCCCAACTCTGGTGGTGGTGTATCAATGGTAAATGATACACCTGAAACCGAACCAACGAATCAAGACAAAATAACTAAAACTTTTGTCCAAAAAATTTGATTAATCTAGAGAAAAATTCTGAACCTTGGATGGTCTTCAAAGCTCCTATGATTTTCTTATACCAACTTATATCTAATATGTTTAGTTCGAATCTACATCTCTGCATAGGCCAAAAAAAACATAACACACACATAGAGATTTAAGATTTAAGACCATTGATAAGTGTTGTAAGTAGTGAAAAAGTAGAGAAGTTGTGAGATATAAAAAACCATGAAGTCAGAATTTGGCTTCCGGGTTCCTTTTGGATTCTCTTCATATCCATATTCAATTCGGCAGAGCATAACGTAAGTTCTCGCTATATACAACTTCTTAATGAAGATTATAGGATCAACTTCGCCACGTAATTCCACCAACCATTTTGATGCATCAATGTCGAGCGTCAAACCTTTCATTGTTTCAGAGTAATATCAATAAAGTTTTTTCAATTAGTCTTCTCAAGTCTCAACTATTGTGTAATTAAATAAGAAGATCTTCAAGACTCAAAGTTCTTTACCATTAATGCCGAGAAATATTTTATTCAACATTTTTTCCCAACCTTTGAGTCCCATATTCACACCAAAAACACATGTCTGTTCATAAAGTTACATAGGGAGTATTAGAGGATAATCCATAAAAATATAGATAAATTCTTCGGAAAAAGGTACTAAAAAAAACAGAGAATTTCTTACCAATGAAGGAGCCTCCATCGTTCTTGGTTTCTAGAACTGTATTATTGTTTGCCCTAAACGCACAACTTAGATGATACATTGGAACAACTTGCTTATATGAGCTTCGCTTTTATGTTTCTAGTTTCCTTAATTTATATGACCATATATTTTTGTTTCCATAATGAAATTTTACAGAGATTTATTGCCTTAATCATAAAATAGAAATATTCTATACTATATATAAAGTTATAAACACACTTTCCAATTTTTTCACCACTACATAACAGAACGTGAGTTTTTATTTTGTTTGTGTGAACCAAAATAGACATTTTGACCCACCTTGGTAACACAACCGGTTGAACATTCTTCCACCCAAAAGGGAAGAAGTTGGAGGTCTCGAATACGAACACTAACGATGGAGAGGAAACTAATTTAGCATGTTATATATGGTCTTCGACCGGTCCGAGGTGACTTGAGCCTAGACCCGAATTTCTTGGTTGGTGTCAAAAACAAAATAAAAACATTCTCGTTTCTGTGTGGGTCACAAAAAATTCGGCTAGGCATCAGCCACGAAAAGATTCCCATCAATCTATTTCATCAGAGTTTCTCTTGGGTTACAAGGTGAACAAATACATCTTGTAATTAATAAGAAGAGTTTGAATTTGAAAGAAAGATAACTATTTAAAATGTAGAAAAAGAAAATAATATGAATGACTAATATGAAAGCCCAGTTTGCACACAATAAACACGATATCTAAAGGACAAATGTCTGAAATACTTCAATCTGTGTCTACTCTTTTCTGACGTACTCCTCTATTGTCTGGTATACTCCTTTCTCCAATACTCCTATTTGGTACAACTTGGGTAGTAATATTTGGTACAACTGTTGTACCATGGTACAACTGTAGTATTACTTGATACAACTATTAAAATACAGTACAACTAGATATTACTTGGTACAACTATCAAAGCATGGTATAACTAGTTATTTGGTACAACTAAGATAAAAAAACACATAGTACAACTAGCGGTTCCCAGACATTGACTTAGTCAACAGAAGCTTATGAGACATTCATTCATATCTAAATCAAATACGACGTAACATAA